TCAATTTTAAGAAATGTATAAAATAATGAATGATTTCTAATTTATATAAGATATTGCTGGAGATGGAAATAGATTACGGATGACTAGGGATATAGATTTAAGTAAGCAAATGAGAACTAGGGATTCAGCAAAATATCTATAGCTTCCATACAAGAATAAATGGCAGTTAATCCCAATAGAAATAATACAGCAATTATTCAGCAAATGTTAGAAGAGATATAAACATAAGAGCACATTTCTTCATATGTGGTAGACCTGTGAAATGGTTATTTAAAAATAATTTTAACAAGCATTATAATCACATAGATAAAAACCATATACTGTTAAATTTACTCAAGCTCAAAATTTACGAGAAAATTTTTATAAAATGTTTTATAGGTGGCACCTTGATCCACAAAAGTTGTCTCGTATGTATCCGAATGTACAGCCCAAATGTTGGAGATGTGGTTGTCTGGACGCAACGTACTATCATATTTGGTGGTCATGTAGAAATGTAAAGGTTTTTTGGATTAAGATTTGGTGAAACATTCAGAAGATTTTTAATAGAAGGATAAAATTTACACCACAATTATTTTTGTTAGGTATTATTGTAGACTGTGATGGTAAAGAGATTATCTTAATGTTAAATTTTATTACGGTGGCAAAGTTGCTGATTGGGCAATATTGGAAGAAGGATTCCTTGCCTACTATAGAAGAATGGTTTCTCAAAGTTTCTCATTTATCAGAAATGGCAAAAATTTCGGCTTATCTGAAAGACCATTCACAAGAGAGATATATTTCGGTGTGGAAAAGATGGGTAAATTTTGTACAGATTAAATATGGGATTAGGAAGTATTATTTAGCTTTTGAATAATTATAGTTTAAACTGGGTATGGTTGGATTTGTAGTTTTTATGTATTGGAGTTAAAGTACTTTAAAAAATTTTGGGGGGATGTATGTATAGTGGATTGATGTTCATTTAATTTGTATGGTTTTTTTCTCTTTCTTTAACCCTGTATTCAGCTCTGGGAAGGAGGGGGGAGGGTTATGGGGTGGGAGGGGGGGTATTTTATTGTAAAATGTTTATAAAAATTTTCAATAAAAAAAAACCATATACAACTACTAAAACTAAAAGAATAAAAAGAAAAAATAGAAAGTGTGAGAAAACTATAGAAAAAAGCTCAAATCTGGTGTGTGTGTGTGTGTGTGTGTGTGTTTCAGTCTAGGAAATTCTCATGCATCCTGGGCTTCTGCAGAACTACAGTTGAAAACAGCTAATCTAGAGAGTGCCTTGCAAGTTAAAGTGTTGCCGCACCCCGCCAACTAACAAGTATAAGCATTGCACTGACTTGTTAGGTAATCCTTAAATAAAATGACATTGCCCTACTTATTTGGGCTTCTAGTCCTGACAACCTACATAAAATATAATCAGTATAAAATTACAATGTTAAATTGGGAGCAAATCTGGGATTATGTGGGAAGGAATCCTGTCTTTCTGTAACTCATCACAGTCTTGTGCAAGAACCATGGGTTCTTTTGTGGATGCAACAATTTTTAAATAGATTAGACACATTTCTAGTGTATAAATTTTTCCTATGTAGGTGGCAGATATATATATATATATATATATATATATATATATATATATATATATATATATATATATATATCATCATAAAATCAAAAGAAACAGTTGCTATTACCAGAGTGAAGTGGCTGAATGCAAAAGAAGTGAGTTCCTCCCCTCAATACTAGTAAGTAAGAAAGAAATAAGGTTTGTTTGTGTATGTGTGTCAAGGGTGGGGATTTAATGGAAATTGCCTGTCAGTACTTCTATTATTGTTATAATTATTCTGAGATTAAAGCATCTTACAGCACTGTAAAGTGTACACTTTGTCACAGATCAATTGGTTGGATTTTCTCAAGCTATGTTGTTGCATGTTCTTTTATAAGAGATGGTTGCAAGCAGGCATGATGTCGGGCTTTTATTACCAAAATAAAATTTCTTATAAAAATCAGTTTCCTCATATACTAAAGAGATATTTCTTATTTGTATATTTTTTCATTGTTCTCTCTCTACATTACTAAAGATGTGTTTTTTTTCCATCTTATTTTAATTTAATTTCTTACAATTAGCATCTCTATTTAGACTCTCTGAGTTCAGAGTGCTTGACAAGTTCTCTGTACTTGTCAAACTTTATTCCTCCAAATGCTAATTTTGTCACGACAATCTCTCCTGATCTCACTCCTCCACTTTTTGTTCATACTCTTTTACTGCGTTATAGTTTAAATCTTAGACTTCTATTTCTTCTCTTATTACTCTCCTCAGGCCCTCTTTTGTCCTCAGACTCCTTTGTTTTCTCTTTCCAGCTTCTTCCTTTCAAGAAGTAGTTGCTAGTGGTCTGCAGAATTTCTCTTCTGGATGAATGTTGCTAGCTTTGTCCTGGTCGTGGGTTCCACACAACTGCTTTCCATTTCTTAATCTATCAGACATTTTAATCCTGAATGGTTTCAGAGGTTGCTGGAGATTAACCCTGTTGGTCTACTAAAGTCCATTCAAAGCCTTGGTTGTTGCTTGAAATAAAGAGGAAGTTGAGACCATCAGATTGTGCCTCTGCTCCTCTCCCCTTGCTGATCCTATCATTCCCCATGGTTTAAGACTAAAATGGGAGAAGAAACATCTTGACCATCACTGGCACGAAACAAGGGAAAAACTGAATTGAACCCAGGTTAGAGTTTTTATTAGGACCTATCTAATGGTAAGGGCAGCAAAGTATCAGTACTTCTCTATCCTTATTGCATGTGCAGACAGTAAGTCCTGCTCTTAGCCCCTCTTATGTGGAGTGCCACAGGATTCAGTGCTTTATCCTTTTTAACATCTAAATCAGAACATAGGGTGAACTCATTTGTTTTCATGGAGTGAGATATCATAGTATGCAGATATAACCAATTATATATCTCCATCCCTGTTGAATTAAGCAATGCCATGAGCATCTTATCCAGGTGCCTGGAAGCTGTAAGGATCAGGATGGGCAACCACAGGCTTTGGTCAAACCCTGGCAAGACTGAGTGGCTATGGATTTTGGCCCTACTGGTTCCAGAACTATGCCATCTTTGATGGTAGGTAGAGTTACACTGCCCTAGTAGACTCAGTGCACAACCTGGACATCCTTCTAGACTCATGACTTCTGCTGAGCAGGTGGACATTGTGGCTAGGAGACATTTTGAACAGCTTCATTTTGTATACCAGTTACATCAGTCCCTGGATCAGCAGGCCGTTCTAGAGTCGATGTCCTAGATTGGATTGTTGCAATGTGCTCTACATGGGGCTGCTCTTGAAGAGTATCCAGAAGTTTCAGCAGTATCCATATTGCAGCAGCATGGGCAAATATGTGTGTGCCTAGAGTGGCGTTTATTACATTCTGCTTCACAATCTGCCTTGGCTGCCAGTTTGATTCTAAGTCCAATCCAAGGTGCTGGTTTTGATCTATAAAGCTGGGATGGGATGGGACCAGGCTATTTGAGTGCTGCCTCTCCCCAGACATCAATCCAGAGATCTGCCAGAGAAAGCAAGCTGTAGATACTATCAGTTAAGGACCTACAGTTGTTGGATCCCAGGATATCTGCCTTAACTGCTGTGGTGCCCATTTTATCAAACTTTCTTCTTCCTAAAATTAGATTGTTCTATCCCTTTTGAAATTCTGGATGGCCCTCAAGATCTAGTTATGTTCTCAGGCCTAGGATTTTTAGTAACTGGAAACCTGCATAGATGGCTTGATTAGCGAGGTGGCTATTTTACTTCCCTTTTCACCTGTGGATTGTATTTCTTTTATAATATTTATTGTTAATGTGATTTGAGAAGGGAGTAAGAATGGAGGAGAATAGCCAGGAACAGCAGGTAGAGCTGCAGATTAGAGGGGGGGAGGAAATAGGAGAAGGTGGGGTGGATAAGAATGGAGAAGGGCAGGCAGGACAGCAGTTTTGGGGGGGGGGAAGTTTGGGAAGGAGAGTCCCACAGGAACGCAGGTTGGTAGATGGGAACAGTACATAGGACAGCAGGTAAGGGAAGGAAGAATGCTGGAAGTAACAGCAAACGGAGCAGTGGATTGGAGAGGGGGGGAGGAAACAGGAGGGGGGGGACTGACAGGAAAGGAGAAGGGCAGATAAGAATAGCAGGCAGGACAGCAGATTGGGGGGAGGAAAGCTTGAGAAGGAGGGTTTAACAGGAATGGATGTTGGCATGTGGGAACAGCATGTAGGACGGCAGGTCAGAGGAGGAGGAATGCTAGAAAAGAGAGGATGGACAGAAATGGATGAACAACAGGCAAGTCAGCAGATGATGGGGAGGGCATTGGAGAGGGGAAGATGGACAGTGGGGGAGGAGGGTAAACAGGAACAGCAGGTAGAGCAGCGGATCAGGAAGGAAAAGATATTGAGGAAGAGAACATCAATAAGTATGGTTGATGAAAGGCAGGAGCAATATGTTAATCAACAGGTGGGAGGGTTAAAGGAAGGGGGGGAAGGATGACAGGAATGGATAACAAAGGGTGCATGAATCGGCAGGCTGGGAGAGGAGTGGGGTTGGAGGAGGGAGTTGAAATAGAAACCAGCAATGGTATGCAAAAACGGCAGGCAGATTATCAGCTCAACAGGATTCGGGTAGTGCCGAGTGGGAGGAGCCACCTTGCATTGGATAAGGAGGAGGGATTGGAGAGTGTGCTAATGATAACAGCGCAGGGCGGGGGAGACAGCACAAGGATGACAAAGCAGGAAAATACAATGTTAGAGTGCAAAAAAGAGAGGGCGGAACAGGCAAGGCAGTCACAGGCAATCAGGAAGAGTGGCCCTGTCACGAGGGCAATGAGTAGGCAATTGGATCAGCAAGGGGATAAAAGAACTTCCCACCCCCTAAGCCCCACTCTGAGGATGCTGGCAGAGGACCAGCGAAAGCTAAGTTGTTTTAATTCTTGTATATAACTGTTTTTATTGTTTTAAATGTTGTTTTAACAATAAATAACTGGAGTATACTCTTCCTGGAGATCGAAGATTGCATCATTGAATATATATATACATATATATGTGTACACACACACACACACACACACACACAGCCACATGTGATTATTTTTATCTGTGTTGTGACTGGAGCACTAACCAATAATCAGGCTGCTGCATTCTTAAGCAACTGAAGCTTCTGAATGGTTCTCACATAGAGAGGATTCCAGAACTGATACTGGCATCTATCACAGAAGTGAGGTCTTCCTGCTCCAGGTAGGTATGCAGCTGTTGCCCCAAAGAAGCTGGGCAAAAGTTCACCTAGCCATGTTCTCCACTTACTCATGAAGCAGTAGCCTTGAGTTCAGAAGGATCCATTCATCCCTTCCTTTCAAGAGTGTCATATCATTGAACAACAACATTGAAACTGGCAGAAAACCTCAACTACAACTCCATTTTGTAGTATTCCATCATGCCCTGTTTTCTTCCAACCAGATTGTCAAATGTCAAGAGATTAATAGTCAGGGATAATGATGCACAGTGGTCTTAAATACCACCTAAATTCTAAGTCTAAAGAGCTGGAGAAAAGTCCTACTTCTTCTCAAGTCCTAAAACTAATGCAGAAGAGTGGCCAATGCTGTCTCGAGTCAGTTCTTCTCAGACTGAGAAAAATTCACATAATCTGCTTCATCTAGGCTGTTCTAGTATTATCCTACAATAATGGTCTGAGTAATCTTTCCTAACAAGAGAAGTTAGAGAACAGGAAATAATTGTGAAGAATGGGGGTATCAAAAAAATCTCTAGTCTCCTTCAGGACTGCAAGTACCATGTTCATGTCCCTCCCAAACTGAGACAGTGATTACCTCTCCAAACCAGATTTTTATCTCCCACCCATCCATGCATTCTGCAGTCATTTGTGCCTAACATAGAGGCAAGGAGGTTCATAAAATCAAGCTCTCAATTCACCAAGGACATACCAGAGAGCAACCTATCACTTCACTGAGGTTCATGGTCTAATATGAATCCCAGGAAAAATGGTAAGACAGTGCACAGCTACCACTTTGGATTCTACTTATGAGCAGTCAACATAATTTAAATTTGAATGACTCTGTTGGAAAAGTGCTGTGCAAAACTAGTCAGATAGGAAGTTCCCATTTGCTAGCATCCTAGATGGGAGTTGGCCATTATGCAAAAGGATATCACATGACAGCCTAGGATGCAATAAAGCAATGACACGTTTTCACTTATCACCACAGTTTAGGCTCATGCTTGAACTCAGTCTGTGTTCTGTCAGGCTCACTTGCTGTTGACGGATATTCCCAGAGATTAATGCAGTATTCAACTGTCACCTATAATCAGAGCCCAACTCCCAGGATTACTTGGAGAGACATTGATCATGTTGGCAGGATTTTCTAACATGTTGCCTTGTTTAAGAGTGACACATTGTATCTTTTATGTTGTTTTTTATTCGTTACATTGATGTTTTCCATCTTTAAGCATTAAGATGTTATTTATTTATTTCTTTACTTATTGCTAAAATTTTACCTTTTCAGGTTATGAGATCATTGGAGAATATACCTGAAGGATCAGGGATGATTGTTTATTACCATGGAGCTACTATTTTAGACTATGCCTTATTTATAGCTCATTTTTATACAAAAACTGGGAGATTAGTCCGCTCTGTGATTCATTATGGCCTGTATTTAGTACCAGGTACACATGTTAACCTTTAATTACATTTTTATTTTAATTTAATTTTAATTTATTTACAGCATTGCTGTAATGCTTTAAATATTCTAAAAGTTCATTTTCTTGACAAAAAGCTCATGCCAAAGAACGAACATGCCATAAAATGGTCGCAAGATGTTTTAAAGCAAATGTTTTATCTGTGCAGCTTGAGATCCATAAAGACATCCATAGCTACAGTGACTATATTTTCTTGGAAAAAATAAAGGACAAACCTGAAAAGTGGGCAAACTTGAAAAAGGAAAAAAAAATCCTTCATAAGGACTTTTGAAAATATTATTTATGTTCATAACTTTGCTTTACAAGGAAAATTTAAAAGCAAAATGAAGAAAATACATAATTAAATCAAATAAATCTAAAGGAGAGCTTTCCAAAATAAGGGCTATCCTTTATAATAATAGACATAGGGTCATTATACCAATAGCCCATTTGTGTTTAGCTTGCCACTCAGAAGATGACTATTTAGTTCCTATTCAGCATGCCAGATATATTTCTGCAAAGAGGCAGGTTTAATAGAAGTCATAATTCCAAAATCTAAGGAGAAATTCACTTGGACTAGAAACAAAGGTTCCCTAAGATATAGTAGAATGAATTTACATAGTGTCACATACTAATACATCAAAATACCATACATTGGACTTGAACTGAAGAACATGTACCATAAAATATGTCTTCATATCAGGTACTTTTAGCAAGAAAATCTTCAGAGCTCCCCATTAGAACAGGACACGCAGCAAGGACGTTTAACTGAATTTTTGAGCACAGCCCCTTTTCCATAGACATTAAATAGTGAGAGAAAAGTTTGCTGATTGATTTTTTGCTTTGAATTTCTTCAGAGAAAGAAAGAACAAAAATAAAAAGCTGACTCTAATTTGGGAAATGTGAATTTTCAAGTGTTTTGGAAACAATGTGGAAATGAAGAATTAGAGCTTTAATGGGTTCAACCCATGCCTGGCTACACTGTAATGTGCAGAAAAAGCCCATACCTTAAAACCAGCAGAATGTTTGGGGAAAAAAGGCAGAAATCACAATAATTGTCATGATGATTATTATGCCATATTATACAACATGATGGTGATAGTCATAAAAAAATTATTTTTTGCCCCAAATAATATTTTTATGTAACATATTGCTTTCTTCTGATTTTTCTTTTAAAAACAGGTATAAAACTGACTTTTAATGTAGTGGGTTGCATAAAAGGCAAAAAAGTAGAATGTATTAAAATTCTCAAGAAAGGCGATTTATTAGGAATTTTGCCAGGTGGACTGAGAAGCAAACTTTAGTGATGAATATTACAACACAGTCTGGGGAACCGGCATAGGTTTTGCTCAAGTAGCTTTAGAAACACAAGGGGTAAGTGATCTATTGCTCACGTTAAGGATCATGCTCCAAGAACTCCTATATAAATATCCTTAAGTGATTAAACTTCCATGTTAGTTAGACCAGTGGTTCTCAACCTTTCTAATGCTGCAACCCCTTAATACAGTTTCTCGTGTTGTGGTGACCCCCAACCATAAAATTATTTTCATTGCTATTTCATAACTGTAATTTTGCTACTGTTATGAATCGCAATGTAAATATCTGATATGCAGGATATATTTGCATTGAACATAATTAAAGCATAGTGATTAATCACAAAAACAATATGTAATTATATATTGTTAAATATTTATTTTTAATTACAAAAAAATGAAATTTTGTCTTGAAGCATGGTGTAGCATGGGTAACAGTCTTAATATAATGACATTGCTACATTTTTCAACAGTATGCGTAAAAAGCCAACATCAGTGCGAAGGTTAAGGTTGCTTCTTTTTCACCAGATCAGAAATTCTTGGGGCAGTCTTTGCAAGAGTACAATGAAGATCATCTTCCACAACAAGTCTACTTCTTATTTAGACTTGATAACCAACAAGCTGGAAAAGCCTGTTTCACAAAGATATGTTGTTGGAAATGGAAGAAGAAGGCACAACGCAGTCTCAGACAGAACAGGATATGACTGCAAACATTTGATTCAGAATTTTGTAACTGGCATTGTGGAAAAATCAGTTCTCGCTGCATCGCTGTTAATAAGTTCAATGAACTCCTCTTGTGTTGTCTCAGGAACATTTTCTGTGAATGGGCTTCTGGCAAGTGCAAATGGGGTGTCAGGTAGATTTGGAAAGTACGATGAGGTTTCATCTGCAAGCATGTGCAGGTGTTCTTTAACAGAACTTATCATCATAATCCTGTTGTCTGGTTCAATGTGATGTTCCTCAAAGAAAGCAGATAAGGTAGGCAACATGTAAATTTTATTTTCATCCAATTTTTTTTTTGCCAAAGCTGCAGTTTCATTTGGAATGATGGGATCTTTTCAGACAAATCGAGGCACGTTGCATTTGGTCCTTGCAGTGATAAATTTAACTCATACAAGATGGCAAAGATGTCAACCAAGTAAGCTATTTTCTGCAGTTCACTGTTATCGCTGAAAAGAGCTTCAAACTGCGGTCTTGCTTTCTGACTAAAAAACATTTTGAGTTCATCACGAAGCTCAAAAACACGTTTTAAAACTTTTCCTTTTAACAACCATCTCACTTCAGTGTGAAATAGCAGAGCATTGTTTGGCGCATCCAACTCGTTGCACAGTTATGAAAACAGTTGTATGTTTAAACTGCTTGCCTTTACAAAGTTGACAGAATTTATGACGCTTTTCATTACTTCTCGTGACTCTTGTGGCAGTATCTTTGTTGCTAATATTTGCTGATGAATCATACAGTGAGTTCCGATGACTTTTGGTGACTCATTCAGTACCAAATGTTGAAATCCAGATCTACATCCTAGCACAGCTGGAGCACCATCTGTGCAAACAGCACAAACCTTTTCCCAAGATATCTTATGCTCTTTCAGAAATGAACCAACTGTGTCAAATACATCACAAGCAGTAGTTGTCGTTTCAAGAGTTTTGCAAAACAGAAACTCATCTTTAAAGTCGCCATCGTTAGTATACCTCACATAAACCAGTAACTGGGAACAGTTTGCAACATCTGTAGATTCATCAAGCTGGATACTAAATATTGGAAGTGGAGCATATTTAATTTCTTGGATTACCTGATCAAGAATATCAGCAGACCTGTCATCTATTCTTCTGCAGTGTCATTGGACAAGGAAACTGCACTCAATTTCGTCACAAATTTGTCTCCGATCATAAGTTGAACAATGTCTTTGGCCACTGGCAACAGTAACTCCTCAGCAATAGTGTGAGGTTTCATAGCTCTGGCGATTCTGAGTGCCACCACATATGAAGCTTCAACGGCTGCTACGTTTTGTTTGTGGGACTTGCCACCAGTGTCAAGTCTAGCTTTCTTGAGTCCATCAGCTTTGGTTCTAAAATATTTGGTATCCTTGCCAGCATAGCTCGGATGCTTGCTCTCAAAATGGCATTTCAGTTTGTTCGGCTTCATCAATTCGGCTGATAGAACTTTGCAACAAATTACACATTGTGGTTTCTCGATTCCCACTGTAAATATTGAGGTAAAACCTGTAAGAAATCCTTACTATATTTCCTTTTCCTGATGTTCTTCAGATCCATTGTCATTGAATGGTTTGCTAGTGTAAATATGTAAAAATAGCTTCAATAATACAAAACATGACACATGGCATAATTCAGTCAAAACAGTTCATTAAAGTTTCCTATGATTTACCATTCTCTGTGTTGTTCTATTTACAACCCAGTGTTTCTCAACCTTGACAATTTTATGGCATGTGGACTTCAACTCCCAGAACTTCACAGCCAGCAATCGCCAACTCCATGGGAGGAGTCTTACTCCTTTGGTGGAAAATCAACTCTATTATCCTGGGAAAGAAACCAGGCTCATGCAATTCAGATTTTTAGCCAGAGATCTGAGACCATGAGAAACCACAAGTCCATATTTAGATGGCTACATAACCGAGTATTCATCATGATTTGGGAGCCCAAGATGCACCACCCAACCTCAGGGAGTGTAGGCAGAATCTGCCCAATATTTGCTGAAATACGTTGTACTCAGATTTCATTCTGGGAATGAAATATTAAAAAGGAAAAGAGCAGAAGAAATCAACTTTTATTCCCCATTTCCAAACCCTCTTCCTGGAAGTCATAACATGTAATTAAGCACTTCAACAAAGTAATTACTCCATTATTTGAGTAGGCAATCAATTAAGAAGTTGCATCATGTAAGGAAAGAAAAGAAAATTAAACAAAAGAAAAGAAAAGAAAAAGAAAACAAGAGAGAAGGAAAGGGGACAAGAGGACAGGACAGGACAAGGAACAAGAGAGGAGGAAAGGGAAGGGGGAGGAGAGAAGAAAAAGAAAAAAGGAAAGAAAAGAAAGGAGGGGAGAGGGGAGGGAAGGGGAGGAGAGGAGAGAAAAGAATGGGAGAGGGGACAGGAGAGGGGGAGAAAGGGGGGTAGAAGAAAGAAAAGAAAACTCTTCTTCTTGCACGGAGCCGGCAATCGTGGAGCAAGACGCCCGTTTGGTGCAGCGGCAGGCAGGCCCAGGCAGTCCTGGGTGGCCATGGCAAGCAGTAGCGACGGCGCAGGCTGACCACCAGTTGGCCCAGCCCAAGGGAGGTAAGCCACTCGCCGGGCCCCACGCGTGCCAGCTACCCTCCCAGTGCCTGCCACTGCCCCGCTAGCCTTACCATGGCCACCGTCCATTTGGGGCGGTGGCAGACAGGCCCAGGCGCTCTTGGGCAGCCATGGCAAGCAGCAGCAACGGTGCAGACCGACCACCAGCTGAGCCACCAGCTGGCCTAGCCCAAGGGAGGTAAGCCACCTACCGGGCCCCACGCACACCAGCTACCCTCCCAGTGCCCGCTGCTGCCCCACTAGCCTTACCATGGCTACCACCCATTCATTGCGGCAGCAGGCAGGCCTAGGCACTCCTGGGCGGCCCTCCCACCCCTGGCCTTCTTTTACTTACATTTAGTAGTTGCTCATCAGGGATGGGTGGA